CATTGTATTTGATTGTAATATAAATATTTTGAATATTTCATTCTATTTGTTATTTTATTGTTGATTTTAAGTAAACAAATTTAGTTTCGTAAAATTTTTATAAATAAAAAAAATTGATTGCTCACTACGATTTAGGAGCCCAAATTTTGAAATTCGCTTCAAGCTCCGTGAAACACAAATTGGTCTAAAGCCAATAAAAATGAGAATAAAAAAAAGTTGAAAAATGAAGAATACAGACCTGCAAGATGAAGTAGAGAAACTTTATGTGTGTTAGCTCTAACTACAAGGAAAGTTGATCGGGATAGGCAACACCCTCAAGAATCAAGGAATGTCTTAGATATGATTCAAATCAATTCTTGTTCAATCTTAGATTGGAGATAACGGATCATGCAAGATCTTAACTTCTTTTTATTATTTAACCTAATCCTAAAAGTTATAGAGTCCAGCATGTCAAACATGTCATCGGGATGTCTGAAATCTCATGTAACCTTGCAGTGAAATTATGACGAAGAAGATTAGTCCAGACCATAGAAACGCTAAAAATGATGTTGACGCATAGCTCCAGGATGTGCATTAGTTCCCTCAAATACATCCATTTACCAAACAAGAGAATAGAGTTCAATTCTCCTAAAAATGCAGCATGTCCCTACATCATGGGCGTTGGGACCTTGTAATCCGTCGAAGAAGACTGGGTGGATGAATAATACACGTGTCAATTGAATAGTACCAATGAGTATTGAGTTTCCAGAGTAGTACTAGAAATTTTCTTAAGATAAGTGAATGTTAACGCTTGAATAAACATAATATGAGTAAATATATTTATCGCAAGGCAAAGGTAATGTTAGGAGATTGAAGTCATCCCAGGAAATGTTAGGACATTAATGTTAATCGGATCACATTAGAAGTTCAGGGGCTAAAATAAACGGAGTCAAAAGTTGGAGGTCTGAATTGAGAACAATTTAGAACTTGGGGACCAATCAGCGCAGTTACGAGAAATTGGGACTTGCAACCTCAAAATACATTCTGAGGTTGTGCTTGGAAAGTTCCTTGTTGGTCGTGGGGTTGTAGCTGAATGCTCCTTGTGCCTTGGCTAGATCAGTTGGAGATAACGGAATATTGATTTTCAACCTAAATTTAAGGACATTTTGGGTATTCTAGAGGCACGACTTCCCATACACATAGAAAACTATGAATAAGGGCTATTTAGGTCAGAAATGAAGAACGCGTCATAGAATATTTTTAGGAGGCAAAAAAGAACTCTTTCATCATTGAAGAAGAAATCATCCATATGTTTTTCGAATCGAAGCAAAGAGAAGGAAGATTATTCAAGATCATTGAAGAAATTCAATGATTCAAGATTTACTCTTTTTTATTCCATTATTTTGAAATCATGTTACGTATTCTCATTCAAATACGTTTTTTGCAATTCAACCACGATAGGCTAAACTTCTAGTTGTTATGGTTGCAATGAAACATTGACTCTTTGATTAATTAATTGCTATGGTTGCTGATTGTTTGTTAATTGAATTAATTGTCATCCTATTATTTGTTAATTTTCGGTTTGTCATTGGAATACGTGATTATATCGAGAGGTAAATCATGTTTCTAGTAAAACATAAAGATGCTCCCATGCTTAGTTTTATCTTAATTGATATTTTCTATATTTGTATTGCTTTTTTCATCTAAAGTAATGCTATGTAGCCCCACTAGGGTTGTAATCTCAATCTATGTGACTCTAAATGACAGCTAAATGAAATGTGAAATTAAATAACTTATTTAATTTCACCTAATATTTAATGTCACATTAACACCACATATACTGTTATTGTAACTTCAGTGGAGCTAAATAACATTACTCTTTCATCTATATGCATCCTTCATAGTGATATAGTATGATCGTAGGTAAAAAATAATTTAGTTTATCTCGAGAGAAAAAAATTAACATTTAAGGAATATCAATTGTCAAAATAAAATAAGAATTGGTCAATAACGGGTAATTGATAATTAAAATATGTTAACAACGGTGAATTTGGATGTCTTTGCCTTTTGCAATTTGATTAAACTTCACGATTTTGTTGCTCAGTTGTAGTCACTTGTTTTGTAGACAACCGAATATACCAAATAAGTCATTGTGTGTTTTTCTTGATTAAACTAATCGGGTAGATATTAGTACTCGCGGATACAATAGTCCACTCATTCTACATTACTTGTTACAATACAGCCTGATTATCCCATTATTTGTCACAACCCGAGCATTAATCCCAAGGGTATGTTCCCATCGATTACGAGTTTCCCTCATCGGGCAATGTACCTCGGCCATGGTGGTCCTCGAGCACATGATTTGACACCCCAAAATCATAGACCTCGTCGGGATGTCTCCTCGGGAATTATGTTTGCCCGTTCGCTTGGAACATCCTCGAGATCGTGCCTTGGCCTCGCACCTGACAACTCCTGTT